GCAGCCCTGTGCCATGTGCTCTAGGTGACCCTGCGTGAGCAGCGGGGTTGGACTCGATGACCTCTGAGGTCCCTTCCAACCTTCGGCATTCTATGATTCTATGATTCTAAGCAAACATTATTTTCAATAGGAACAGTATTTGGTAGAAAAAAAAATGCAGCTTCTCCAAAACAAAAGGGATAAACATAAAACAYTGTGGCAGTAGAACAGTAATAACAAGTAGGAGTCTACTACTGGCTAATACTTTTTAAATGGTCTTGTTGCATGTAAGAAAAATTAAATCTTGTAATCTATACTAACGGGCTATAAGGAGCTATGTAAGTAGGTTAAATTGAGAGGGAGGACAATACATTTTGATTCCCCTTACACACACTCACACACACTACATATATATCATTTAAGTTATGTGCACACATGTGAAYACCAAATATCAAGACCTCACATTTCAGTAGACAAAGAATGTGTCAGAGTATTTAAATAAAGATCACAATCCTTCTGCAGATAATGCCTCATTAGTACTCAAGCTGCAGCCTGCTACCTAGTCTTTGTTTTTTTTATTTTTTTGTCCCCTTAGGAAGAAAAATGCTTTTTAACGGCACACCTAAAAGGTAGCTGAAAAATTCAAGAATCTGTATTTTTTGAAACAGATATGAACAAATAAAATCATGACAACATAAAACTTGTCGTAAGCACATGACACTTCTCAAGCCTCTATCTGAATTTTACAAAATAAAATATGTTTCTGTACAGGATTGGATAGAAAATTCAGGTTTCAAGTAGGAACATAAAATCATGAAAATGAAATGAAGATATGGTAACTAATGCAAATCCTGAGGCAAYTGATCTGCCTATAGAGAGTCTCAAATCTCCGAGGAAAAATCTTATAATGTTTAGACTCAGTTCAAGCAGAAGCTGGAGAAATATCTTGTCATATACAGGATGTCACAGAAGTTGATCTGCCCTGGCCTTAAACTTTATGAAACTGAAATCTGAGATGCTTGAGATGTCAGGACCAAATTATATAAATATGTACAGAAAAAAGTCATGACCTTTATTTTTCTCAAAGAATGGCAAGTTTATTGACAAGCTACTTTACAACAAAACCACCCGTGCAAAAGAATTTTGACTCTTTGACTTCATGCTTTGGGGTTTTGTAACTGAGAAGACTGATAAAAATAACAAACAAACAAACAAASAAATCCCTAAGATTGGCTTCCAAGGATCTGGAACACTAATCAATGAAATCTGGYACCTGTTTTAAAAGACTTTGCAATGAGGTTTTAAAGCAAACAAACAAATGCTCGGACACTCTACATCCCATGACCCAAATGTTGGTGGGGATGAATATCCTCCTGGCTTGCTGCAGTGGGTAACAGCCAGGGTCTTATCTAGCCTGAAAGAGTTCCTTGACATTGRGTCATTACTTATTGAACCCATTTTTTTCTTAGCTTAAAAAGACTTCAAATGAATTACAAAGTAGAATTCACTTTRCTCTTAACTAGGTATCTTGGTTTTAGAGATTTAAGTGTCAACAAGCCAAACTAAGTTACTTAGAATTCAATGGTGAGAAGCAAACGATTCTCCTTGACCAAAAATAGCAAAATTATGAAAGATTGGGTGAATTCCTTGATCATCTGGATGTTGGATTCCCTATGTTATTTCCGTACTAAGAACACTGTAGAATCATAGCCATTTCACCTGTAAGATCCTTGAAGGTACACACAGGCCAAACTTTAAACACGTTATTATTAACAAGTCATAAGAAGCCTACTTTTCCTTTGATCATGTGTGCTTTTTATCTGATAAATCCTAGCTTCATCCCATATTCCCAGTGCCACAGCATTTTTTCTCCCGAGCTGATCCATTCCCACTCTGTCTATTATGCCTTGTCTCTTTGTTTTAGCAAACAGGTGTA